CACTCATGCGCACCAAGTTATAGGCCCCATGCAGATCTAGTTTTGTGAAAATAGGGGCCACACATATCCATTCTAAGGGGATGGGGAATCAGGGAGCAGTTTCGTACAGTCACCTTGTTCAGGGCCTGATAGCCAATATGTGGTTGCAAAGAGACATCCTCTTTCTTGATAAAAAAGATCCGAGTACCTGCCAGGAACATGGCCAGTTGGATGAAACTCTTCAGAGAACTTGAAGTTTGGGTTTGGAGAAGGCATATATCCAACCAAATGGAATCGCGGCTTCAGGCTGCTGATCAATCGGGCAATCATAAGTCCAATGCAGGGGCAAGATGTCTGCCTTCCACTTGTCAAAAACATCAGGAAGTCAGGGAATTTGTGGGGGATCTCAGACGCTGCAGGCAGAGCTGCAGGGGATGCTGAGGGTCCTGGCAGTCTTGCTGCCTGATGATTAGGGTCTTCCAGTGGGTGACATGAAACCACAGAGTATACCAGTCTGGTTCTCAGATCCTGGGAGGCAAGATAGCTGACAGTGCCAGGAGCTAAAGTGGAGGATCCCCCTCTGCCAATGAATTTGGGGGTCATGAGTAGTAAGCCAGGGCATACCTAGAATGTTGGGATAATAGGGGGACTGGATTAATCCAGATTGCAGGGTTTCCTGATGCCCCAGAGAATGATAACCATTTCTAGCAAAGTGTGGTAAGTTAACTATCTAAAGGTTTATTAACTAGGAAAAGGACATAAGGACGTTATTTACAAGGTTAAAGCAGATAAACACAAATGAGTTACAGCCTTAAGTTTCAAAAGACACTTCTATACTAAGAAAGCTCTATATGTCTCTTTTGGCTAACCCAGGCCAAACACTGCAGCTCTCTTGCTTATGCCTAGTAAAACTTTCCCCCAAGAGTCCAAGCACCATAAAGATACAGTTTCTTCTTCTTAGGGCTTTTTATACCATTCCCATTTTCTGAGCAGCCAGTTCATCTGATGGGAGCAATTCACTTGCATGTCTCTTCTTCATGTATGGGGGAGAGCAATCAACACAGTCTTTTGTCCTCTGATGTTCCACAATAGTTCATCTAGTGTTGATGGGCCTTCTTTGTTGGGTAGGAGATAACATTTGCTGTTGAAAACTAGTATTTCATACTCATTAATCCTTCTCTCCAGCCTGGTGATTTACAGTTAGAGAGCAAACATTTAAATAATACCTTATAACATGGGAGACAGATTCTATAAGTGAGATTAATGCATGCAGCAACTTACAAGTATTCAATAAAGTCTAATCACTAAGCACGTTTTTGTAACTCTAATATCTATTTTAACAATACTAATACATAGCTGAGCCAGACTGATTCTAGCTATGTTTTGGTCAGTGTTCAGTTGATACCTAGGGGCCTTGGCTTGAACTGGCACCTGGTCTGCCAGCATCACCGGGTCATCAGAGATAATGGACATGACTTGAATGAATTCCTCTAATTGTTACAAAAGGGGGCTGAACTGCTCCACGGGGAGGGAAGCCCAGGCCAAGGCCTCCCCAGTCAACAACCTTATGATAAGTCCCACACCAGCATGGTCTGTGGGGAATGATGGAGGGCGTAGTAAGAACAGGAGCCCACACTGGTTCAGGTACCACTGAAACTTGTCCCAATCCATATCAAATTTGTCAGGCATGGTATCTTCAGATCTAGGGAGAGGCAGAGCCAGCAGAGCAACCTACACCTGCAGGGCCGCATTCTGTGATTGCAGGATGGTTACTTGCACCTGCAGGTTCTAGGTGTTGTTCATGCTTGCACTGAGGACCCTTTGCCCTAATCTTCTGGCGCTGCTCAATCTGTTGGGTGACCAGGGCAAGGGTAGTCTAACCTAGTGATCAGAGCAGGCATCAGCCCACACAGTTAGCAAAGGCTTCAGGAACCAAGAACTAGGATCAGAGCCAGAGTCGGTAGTCAGAAGCCAAGCCAAGGGTCAAGCCACAGGGCAGGAACTGGATACCAGAGTTGAGGGTCTAGTGGCATTCAGTGGTCAGACACCAGAGCCATGGGTTAAGCTGGAGGTTGGGAACTGGCAAGGAGGGTTTTCAAGGCTGGAGCAGGACAGAGGCAAGGCTGAGTGCAAGACAGGAGTAGCAGGAACAAAGTAACACAGGAGCAGGCACAGTGATGGGCATGAGCATTGAGCAGCCAGTAAGCTGCTGCTGCTGCTGTCTTAAGAGATAGCCTGCTGGCCCCCTCCAGCCAATCAGGTGGGGTGGCCAATCAGGCAGTCCACTGCAGGCCAGCTATACTGAGGCAACTACTTGGAGATTAGCTCTGCTGAATATCCTGCTTCCTGACAAATAATCTTTAACATGCTGTATTTACGACAACAGGCAGCAACAAGAGACATCTTAGAATAAGAAGTAACTACCTCTAATGGCTCCCAGAAGGATCCAGGGCAGCCTGTTATGCAGTGTTCTGGTTTATAGATCAAGACAAAGTCAAAACTTCTTACTTTTTCTGGAGGAAAAGATGGAGAGCCTGGAAGGCATTAGAAATCACTGGGAGAGGTAATAGAAGCCAAACTGGACAGTGACATAGAGGAATAATTGTGATAAGAGAAACAGATTTTTAAGACTTAGACAGCTGGACAGTGAAAAAAGATAGAGGCTTAAGACTTAAGGAAAATTAGAAGCAGTAAGGAGAGCAAAGGAAAACATGTATGCTTACCATTTAACACTGATATCTTCATTAGGTATCCTGCCCTTGACAAGGTGGGAAAATTAGACTGAGGGGAAATCAACGGAGAGCAGTAACCTAACTACAGTTAAACAGGCATGCACTGAAAAGAAGCAATTAGGAAAAAAAAGCCGGAAGAAATTGTAACTGATGAATCCATACCCATGAACATATCTGCAGAAATCTATGGGCCAAATATAGAAAACAAATGGCCAAATTTACAAAAGTAAATAAGCACTTTCTCACTGAGGCACCAATCTGGATCTTTAGGCCCCTAAATACCTTTACAAATCAGGCCCCAAATGCTATGCTGCTTTGCAGGTAGTTAACCAAAGGGTTGCTGAATGTATCAATGATCTTTGACATACTGTTGCTAGACTCGAAGGCAGTGTATATATGCTTTACTTATATTATTTTCTGATATGAAGAACCAGTTGTATCCATTCATAAATGAGACACCTGACCCTGCAAACACGTATTCAAACCCTGGACTTCAATATAACTATTTAGATGAGCAATGATTACTCACAGGAGTCAGGATTTGCAGAATCAGGTTCCCAAAATGCCAGATTCCCTATTGCAACTTTTTTTCCCTATATCACTTAGTGGACACTAACTGCTCCTCCCACTCTTGAATTCTGAGCAAGCAAGCCCAGCAAAGCTTACAAGAATTAGCTCTTGTCATACACATGATCAATAAACTCTTCATGGGAAGTTTGAATTAAAGGTTTATAAAATGGTGGGCTCTTGGAGGTAGGTTCCACAAAACAGCTTACCCCTTCTTGCTTAGATGGGGGAATTTGCAAATAGGGGGTCCCCTTTTGTTCCTGAATATGGGATAAATAATTTTGACCAGAAATAATTGCTAATCTTACCTAGCACCTTAACTATTCACTTCAGTGAAGATTATCATAAAATGCAAAGACACACCAATAATTATATTTTAATATGTCTACAGTTCTAATATGGTAGGAATGTCACCTAAATAAATGTTAGTAACCGCCTATCCAATTCATTTTTAAATTGGAGCCCAAACAGTCCTGCCTGTCAGTTATGAAGCCATTCAGCATAGCTCTAGATAAAAACAGTTCCTCTTTACTTTTTCTGACACTTAAACTGCTGCTTCCCACAGTATCTCATAAACCATAAAATCAGCTAATGGTACCCTACCATTCTCTCCTCCACTACCACCTGCCAGATTTTGCTAAATGTTATTAGGACACCTGGATGAAGTTTCTTCATGAAAAAGTTAGCATCTGAATGATAAAGATACATTAATATAGGCTTTAAGGAATTAATATTAATATAAGTCTTGGGAAAAGCTTAGAATTGTTCTGCTATTCAGGTGTTTCTGGTATGTATGCTTTGATACACGCTTCCTGTGAAGTAAGCTTGAAACTGCTCCTGTCTTCCTAATTCTAATGATGTACTTATTACCAGATCTACACTTATTAGAAACTTTTTCTCTCTGCTATATTAATTCTGAGTTTTTATTCTTCCACAACCTATTCACAACTCCAATTAGAAAAGCACGCAATGAAATAGCCATTCATTGATCTACTTTATCTATTCAATCTGACTGTTATGAAAAGGTGTGTAGAAGGAAAGCTGCAACTGGAGTCTGCACCCACTGCAGGAACTGTAAAGGATTCCAGCCAGGGTAATTTGAGAAGGACCAGCTGAAACTAATTAGGCTATTTGAATAGACTATGGGGAAGGAGCGCTTTGAGAGATTGATCAATAAAGGGCTGAAACCAGATTGATCCTCAGAGTAGAAAAAGAGGAAATTTCTTTTTCAAGTTTTGTTATAGGATCCTTGGAGCTGTGGTCTGACAGAAGAGACCCAAAATAGAGAGTTTTCCTCTTGTTTGGGATTTATGTTATATGAACATTATGTTTTGTGGTCTGGGGATAAAAAACTTGAAAGAGACTTAACCCACTTTAACTGACTGGTTGATTTACCTCTCTGTCCAGGGACATATAGCCAGCCAAATTGCAACATTGATACTAAAATTAAAAATATAACTTAAGTTTAGTGGTCTCAGTCTAGTCTCCAGTGAATGAGGATTCACATCAGAAAAACCACCATTACCACAGCTGAAACCTTTACTAAGATTCTCAGCAGAGAGGTCAAGCACAGTGCTACATTATTGAGAATAAACTCTCACCCCAAGAGATAGTCCCTCTTGGTCAGGGTTGAGGCATGTTGGCAGAGTAGGACAGGGAATCTTGCACTGGGTTGTATTTATTCTTGTCCTTTCTGAGGAAACATCTTTTTCCACCCTCCATGTGAGTGGGTTGGTGGGAGCATGAAGAAATGGGAGAGGACACCAAACCCTCTCTTTGCTCAAACCCCTACTGCACTTCAAGTTGGTCCTAAAAAGGATGCTACATAGTTGTATGTGTTAACATACATACATGGTAAGTGTTGCCAAAACTTAGTGAAACATGCTGTGGTTTGCTTTCAGTAAATCACTGTGAGACATAAAAGTAGAGATCCGCATTCCACTTCTGATCTCATCCAATCAAATTTAGCGAGGGTAGCATTTGGGAAGCACTGGAATCTTCTAGTGGCATGTCATTTGCTGTCATTCCTGTCCTCTTGGTCCTCTTTATAGATGATATTTCACCGTCTCCTGCAGACAACGAAAATACATTGGACCAGATCCTCAAACTGGTGTAAACTAGGTCAGTTGAAATGGAACTATGCAAATGTAGATCAGCATGAGGACCTGGCCCATTATTTGTGCACTGCAATGTGCAATATATTGATGACCTTTATGTTGATATTTCAGCACAAATAAATAGCTATTAAGTGCAGCATCACTAAAATATTTTATGAATACAAAACTAATCACTTCTGGAAAGAACTCAATGTAATATTTGCATTTGTCCTTTATTTTCAAGGATCTGCTTACAAGATTTACATTAAAGTGTCTTCAAGAAGCTATCATTGGAATGGCAATATATTACACCTCTTTTTGATCTATGGTCGTAAGCGATCATCACGCTGACCATTGCAACCATCCAAATGCCATTGTGAGTCAGTCCAATAAGAGGACATGTAAGGTGCCCTTGGACTCCTCTGCATCACAAGTAGCAATGCTGAGAGGCAGAGCAACTTCCCTGGGGCCACAACCTTCCTTTCTCCTGCACAGGTGGGGACCTGGGGTTCTATGCCCCTCAGAATGCCAGTCAGCACAGCTGAGCCTGCTGGGAGAGGGAAATTCGCAGAGTCAGGGATGGTGCTGGGGCTGCTTACTTCGCCTCAGGAGCAAAGTCAACATGTAGATACAAGGTGCCGATCAACACCTAAGAGAGTTTGTAATCAGAAGAGGGCCATTGTAGAATTTCTGTTTACTGTAACTGACAGACATTGCAGGCATACTGAGTCAGATCCTTAGACGGTGTACATCACAGGAAGTGACACTGATGTAAATGAAGCTATACTGATTTATGCCGGCTATTTGACCCAATTGTATTTCATACTGTATATATGTTTTTGTTTTTTTTTGTGATCCAAAGTAGAGTATAATCAGTGAAGGATTCTTAAAGGAAAGATGAAGTGAAGCAGTATTATGATCAAAGGAACTAAAATATTTATAATCACAGTCACCAAAATTAACACTTTATTACTGCAATTTTGGGGTTATTTTTTTTTCTTGGTCGTGTTTCTCTTACAATTTTGTGACAATACAATAACAAGACTTGCTATGAGAGGGAGGCTGGAGAAACCACAGGCATTTTCCACATTTACTAGGTCAGCATACTATGAATTTTATGAGGGACTCCAGCTGCAAGATTTACTGTGTGAGTTTGCAATCAGTACTCTGAATTCTCTTCTTTCTCATCCTTTCCCCAATATCCAAAGCACAATAAATTAAATTCACAAACTCTTAAAGGGATTTGAAATACCTAACTTCCTTCTAAGTCTTTTGCTTAAAATCTAGATCTGTGTGCCATTAATCTATTTGGTTGGCTGAATGTTTTCTTCAGCTTCACTTTCTCCGGGGCACTTACCACCTGATTTTCAGGTTGAAGCAACATTCAGTTGTAAAGGATGTTTCACAGGGTATGTCTACACTACAATTAAACACCCGTGGCTGGTCTGTGTCAGTTGACTTGGGCTCATGGGGCCTGAGCTATGGGGCTGTTTAACTGTGGTGTAAAGATTGAGCTGGACCCCAGACCCTGGGTCCCAGGAGGGGGGAAGTGTTTAATTACAGTGTCAACCTACCCACAGTGAAACTCTGCAAAATACAAATGCACAATTTCAATGCAAAACTATAAACTGACAGAGCTGATTGAATAATGAGAAAAATGATTTACCAACTGAGAGGCAAAAACTAAATAGTTTACCCAATTTGCATATAATACATTGTTTAGCTACTAACCCAAAAATGTATTCAATACACCATTCAGGATGTTTTGAATCTGACAGCCTGTAAGATCATCTTCCATTCTGATCTCACAGAGTTGTTCTCTTATCTTTTTTTGCTCTTCTAATAAAGTTCTGTTTTTTAAGAATCTGATTGGGGTTTTTTGGGTCTTAAAAATCCAAGGCTGGTTTGTGCTCATCTTGTTTATTCTCAAGCCTCCCCAGGAAAGGGGGTGTAACAGCTTGGGGGAATAATTTGGGGGAAATAGGAACTCCGAGCAGTCCTTTCCCTGTTCTTTGTCTAGATCACTTGGTGGTGGCTAAACTCCATCGAAGCTCATGCTCAAATAAATCGGTTAGTCTCTAAGATGCCACAAGTACTCCTTTTCTTTTTGCCATTCAGAATGTTGTTTAACTAGCAATCGGACCAGGTGCACAGGATAAGCCTGGGACTCTTTAGCAAACCCTTCAATAAACTTGGGGTAAAATACTGCTGCTGCACTGACAGGGGCACAAAACCTCACGTGCACAGGGTTTTGCAGAATTTAAAACGGAAGGCCTAGTTTCAATGGGGCTATTCCTAGTAGTAAGCACTACGCCTGGAAGTTAGTGTTTGCAGAATCAGGCCAAGAGACTGCAAATAGCAATTTGGGAGGGTGGCTTTCTTTGACAGGAAGGTGGAAAAGCAATAGTTTAATATGTCTGAATCAATCTGAAGAACGGGAATTGGTTGTGACAACACGGAGCAGCCTGCAAGCTTGCATTTAAGAAAGACTCAAAACAAAAAGGTTAATTCTGATTGCAACTTGAATTTTTTTAAAAGCCCTTTCTTCATCACAGAATCATTTATGCAACAGTACAGTTTGTTACAATGCTTTTCTGATACTGTGTCAGTGAATGTAATTTTCACCCTCAATGCATTTCTAATGTATTTTTTCTAATGAATATTATTGTGTATTGGATTAATCCCACTTTATCATCCGTCATGAAAACCATGTCAGGATCGCTGCATCATTAAAATATTGAGATGGAAAATGCCCATTGTTCCACCTCTGAAGAAAATTAAACATCCATTGCACCATATAATTATTTTGACCAAATAATTGTATTGTATTTTACATTATGTTATATTCCCACTGTATCACATATTCTTGCACTCTGTTAGTTCAGCTTTCTATATTTAATTCAATTTATTCCTTAACATGTAACTGTTAAATTTCAAAGCATTCGCAAACATTAGCTAAAATTACTCCTAGTATGTATTAAATATTTAGATTACTTATTGACATATATGTTTTAACAAAGAAATAAAATATCTGGGCAAAATTTTCAATGTAGTAGCTATAGTAAGGCATCTCAGTAAACTATGGATTTAGACGTCTCGTTTCCAGCACCTGAAATAGAAAATACTGGTCTCAATCAATACAAAAATCTGAATTAAATTTAGTTGAGTTATGATTATTGAAAAACAGAAAAAAAATAATCTTTACCAATGAGAACAAAGTGTTTCAACTGAAGCAAACACAGATCTTATGCTGGCCTGCAACAGGACCGTGCTCACTTATTTCATTTTTGGAAAACAGATAAATCACTTAGGTTGAGATTTTGTCTTGGGCACAATCCTGAGTAAGTGGTGGCACACAAATTGTACAAACCCTAAAGTAGCTCTTGGAGTGGGAGATGTATCTCTGAGGCCCTGATTCAGCTAGTTACTGAAGGATATCCCAAACTTAAAGTATGTGAGTAATCACATTGACATGATGGCCCAGTTCATTGAAGGGACTTAGGCATTGTAACATGGAGCATCAGGGCATCTGACTTTTAGGTGCCTAGAAAATCAAAGGTACAACCCTGCAAATCACAAAGCCTGAGTCCAACACCTTGGCTCCACATACAATGAATGGAGAAAGATAGGCACCTAAGGCTGAGAATCACAAAACCACTGCACACTAGGCAGGGAGCCACCTAAGCTAGCCAATAGGAGACGCTGACCAGAGAGTCATATGCTAAGCCTACCCCTCTTGGGAGATAGTGATTCACAGACTGGGGGAAAGTAGCCATTCATCTGACTAAGCTGCGTACAGAGACAGAAACAAAATGGGAGCAAGATGGCGGAGGCGGCCCTCCTTTATTACATTTAGCTTAATGGTTAGGGTATTTACTCAGGAGGGGGAGAAGAGATTTGACCATGGCTCACCCATCTCTCTTGCATGTGCCCTACCCACTAGGCTATAGAGTCACTCTAAAGCTTTCACTGGCCCAATTCATATTTAATTATTCAATTGTTTAATTAAGGTGGAACAACTTCAATAGGAGAAATTGAGAAAGACCTAGGTCAGAATAGCTTAATTCCATAGCACTCACCTGCAAAGGGGCAGCTCCCTGTTTAAATCACTTCTTCCCCTCAGGAGGAGTGGGGACTTGGACCAGTGGTGTCCCACTTCCTAGGTAAGTACCCTAACCACTGGTCTAAAGATAATAAGGGAGTTGTTTCCTCTTCCTCCTCCTTGCTGTTTTGTGTGAATTCACCTGCGGGGCCCAGTCTAGTAGGCATGCTCAGAGGCCCCCTACTGGATTGGGTCTTGCACGCGACTTAGGCGGCTGAGTGTCTATCTTTTACAGCTCATGGAGCACTTTGGGGTTTAGGCCGGAGATGGGCATCCACATGCCTATCCTGAGGCAGTAGCACATGGGCTCAGGCAGGAGAGAGGTGCCCAAGCACTGAGAGTGAGGCAGAAATACACATGCCCAGAGGAAAAAAATTGGTGCCATATGAGTTTAGGTGCCTACAGGTTTCAGTAGCAGGCAACCAAGAGTTCTCTGCACTGCAGTGGTGCCTAAAAACAGGACTTAGGCACCTAAAAATGGGACTTAGGCACCTGAGTACCTTCATGGCTCTCACTCCATGAGACTACTCATGTGCTTCACTACTTTTCTGAATAAGAATGGATTTAAACGTGTTTAAGTGCTTTGCTGGGTCAAAGCCTAAATTGCTAAATGCCCCCATACTCCTTGCTGGCTCATCTAGTCTGGCCAGGCAGCAAAGGGAGGGAGTTAGCAGGTATCTGCCCAGACCTAAGGCCTAGGTAGCCTTTATAAAGATGTAAGGAAGATTTCTATTTCCTCATATATCTGTGTGCAGGCATATAATCTGAGCCTCAGTATAGTAGCAAAAACATTAATGGAACTGAATACTATGACTAGAAAAAAATGTCCTGCTTTCTAAACGAATTTATCTTCTATTAAAGCCTCAGCATTATTCTTACAGTAGAACACTATAATCCAGTTGCAAGTTCATTTTCACTGACGTCTCTTAATTAAAATACTAATGATAGCAGTTCAAAGGCAAGCAGCAGGATGTATTCATTAGCAGATAATGCATACATAGTGGTGTTGTGTTGGAGGACATCTTAAACGTTTACTGTACTTAGCCTATATTGGTTTTTCCCCTATAATTTTCAGTGTCAAAAACAAGGATATCCAATATGCTGTTCTTTTCTTAGTACTTTCACTCCAGGAAAATAACAGTTTTTAAATAACTTTTCCAAGTCAAGTAGACGAAGAAGAAGAAGAAATAAACAGGATCAATGAGGTTTTAAATCTAAATTTAATCCATTTTTAATGGCCTATGGATTTGGTTCACCAAAGTCTCCTGCCAGAAAATTCCGCTATTCCCTAGGAAAAAAGTAATTAACAAAACAAGTTGAAGCTTGTGAAGTCCTCTCCTAAAAGTGGTATTTGTACATTTTTCAATAAGGATCAGTAGCTGATTATAAAAGTACCTATCTAAGTGCTTAGAGCTGCTGGAACAGAACCTTCTGTTCTATGTGGGTTTATTAATGCTGTATTAGGGGTTTTTTCCATCTTTATAGTGAGAATGTTATCCCTCTGCTGCAAAGACATCACTGGATGTCGACTCATCACTGTCTCATCAGTGAGCTTTGACACATCTTGGTAGGAAATATAGACACAATCACTCAGCCAGATTTCATACCCTATTTGGATCCCTGTATTCAGAAAATAAAAATCTATGAAATATTTCAAATTTATGCAAACTCACCAACAATTTGCTTATAATGCCCAGCAGAGTGCCAGACTGTGAATCCTATGTTTGCACTGGTAAGCAGTTACTCACCCAAGTAGCTCCATTAGGCTTCACAGGTCCATAAGTACTTACCAGTGTCAGTAAAAAGTTCCCAATCTGGTCTAGAGAGAGAACAGAGGGCCATTTATACGTGGGTTCTCCCCTTTACACTTTTATTTAAATAAAATTACAAGTATATGATTGTAATAAAGGAAAATGGATGCATTATGAGATTTTGATGATTACAAATAGCTCAGAATTAAAGGAAAAGGGCTTGATCCTGGAATGAGCTAAAGTGGCCACAATCCAGCAAAGCACTTAAGCACATGCTTTATTTTAACCAGCCGCATAGTCCCAGTGGCTTCAGTGGAATTAGTCCCACATTTAAAGGTTAAGCGCATGCTTAAAGTGCTTTGCTGAATCAGGGCCAGCGTACTCAGCTCGTTATTAAAGCCCATGTAGAGATTTAGTACCCTCATTTTCCATCTGTGCTTCATTAATCATGTGTCCAAGATCGTCCATGTTTTTCCCTCAACAGTTAAATGTCTTTGCTCCAAATGAAACATTTTTTTGCTGAGACCAGATCCAACTTTGATTTGAATTAATCAAATTGAGATTGTGGCATTTGAACAGCAACGAGAATAGTTTAAAGTGAAACTTCTTAATTTGCTCCTGATGGAGTTTGTTGAGGGGAAGTCTCTCAGCAGCTAATTGGACTATTTCAAAATCTATAATGACAAGAAGATACTGTGAAAGGGACTAGGAAGGAGGACATTATGTGTTGTTCCTTGCATCTCTATTCTCCTTGCGTGTTACACATTTTACTGTGGTGCTTCTCTCCTTGACCTCTGCCTTCTTTCCAGGGATATAATCAAGGAAGAGGAGAGAACAAGGTTCTTTAAAGCCCAAAATCATGAATGACAAATTAGAAATGTAAGTACTTACAGGAAAAACAAAAATGTCTTGGATAGGAAAACTCTGTCGTTGGCTGTGCTGTGAAATTCAGCCTTGAAACAATATTGCTATTACGAATACATAATTGGGACTGATCCTTGAGTCATTAAGACTCTAGATCCAGAGATCCATGCTAGCAGGTCTCATGAAAGATAAGGGCCTGTGTGACTTAAAATTTAAAAAGAAAGAAACAAATGCGAGACAGAAAACAATTTTGCTTTAATTAGCCCACCACTTCCTTGAAATCACTTAATTCTCAAAGGATGAATCCAGTGTTAACAGAGAAGTAACATCAATATATTAAAATACGAGAAGAGACAAACCAACTATAGCACACAGACTCACACCTAAGAGTGGGCTTTCCTCCTTTCCTAGTGTTGATGTTTCTTTGAGGTGGAGCTGGGTGGTGAGAGCCTCATTCCAGCAACAGCAGCCTTGCCTAAGTTGTATGCAAAATTCTCCTGTCTGATCCACATTGCTTCCTTCTCATAAAAATTCAGCCTGTGATTTGAAGATCCTTTAGTTGCAGCTGAAATGGGGAGTACAGTACTGCACCCAAGACGGTTCATACAGTTTCAGGTCATCATTAAAATTTGTAGTGTGAGTTTTTGGGTCACAAAAATGCCAAAAACTCAGCACAAATTTTCAGTGTCTGTCCTGGTTGCCCTAACATCCCACTGAAACACAGTGCTGTAGATCTCCAGCTCGTAGCTTGTTACTTTTATTGTAAGAAGCAGCACAAAATTGATCAGGAGAGATTCAAAACTGATTTAGGACTCCATTTTCGCAGCTGCTTGCATTCTGAATTACCATCAACTTCAATGGGAATTCTGAAAGGGGAGCAGCTACAAATTCAGGCCCAGAGAAAGCAGGGGTACATCAATAACTCACCCATCCAGCCAGTTCCAGGCAATCTCTACCTTCTGCTCAATGACCTGCCCTAACTCATAAAATTGAAACAGAGATAACTCACCAAGGGTTGGACACTGACTTACTGAAGATGAAGTCTATCATCATATTCCTTGTGCTTCCAGTGTCAACTTAATATATAAGGAAAAGGGATGGGTGCGAGCCAGTGATCTGAAATAAGAATAGACCAGAACCTTCATTCAAGCCATGATTTTTTTAAGATTTAAAATTTAATTAACATTTTTCCTTTAATCACTTTTCCTTCTCCTGTGCCTCTGCAATTTGAGCCTAGATGTGGGACTTCTTCTGGCCCAAATGAAAGCACAAAGTACTAGCCATCTTGGAAGTACAGATGAACACGTACCCCAAAATAAAAATTGGCAACAATGCAAGAAATCAAAGGTGTAAGACGCAATTAACTACAGATGAGCCTGAATTTTTACCTCTACATTTTCAGAGTTGTGCTGAATTTCAGCTTTAAAACACACATGGATTTGCCTATCAAATGTACTGGCATTCTCGCTGTATTAGGATTCCATTTTGACTATCACAATTAACACTTATGACTATTTCACTCATTGTACTCAATTCCTTTGGAAACTTATTTTGTCCTTTTCAAAACTGGAAGCAAGCCTGCACCACAAAGTTCAGGTCTGGATTTTGAATATGCCAATATTAGGCGTTTTGAGATCTGAGGTTTTGAGACTGGCCCATTTTATGGGTGGGCTTGCTGTATAATTTGGATCCAGATCTGAATTTGGCTGTTGAGCCCAAACAACCTCCTCAGAATTCAGGGATATTCAGCTCCTGGCTTTTGATTCAGGCCTTAATAATCTCTTTTCTAACAGCAGTGTCTTAGAGACAAGCAATCCCACGCATTCTGAGCCACATCAAGGCACACCAGAATTTCTTGACCTTCCTGTTTACTCTTCTTTTCCTACAGTCCTTCAATAGAATCAAGAAAATTAAATAGCAATACTCTAAAACAGAAAATCTAGTATAAAATCCAGCCAAATGAGCAATATAGTCCATTAGACACAGAAGGCTGCTTAAGGAACAAGTTATACTCTTCCAACACTCCTGGTCAACTTCACCCCAAATATCGCTGTTAAGATAATGCATTAGCACCACACTGGGGGTGCTCAGTTTGTATCCAATTAGGCTAGCATGTAGAATTAGAACTGCGTAATTGTGTTTCATAAATCTTATCGTTCTAACCTAGGAGAAATTCTTCTTCAGCTCTAGCAAACGGATCTTGTGCTTTAGGAGCAAGAGGACATGTGTTCTGTCCCTGATCATGCTGTGAAATTCCAAGTAGTTGTGATATATAGGACAGTGAGAGTCAGAGTTGTTGGGTGAACCACAATGAAGGACCATTTGGTGAATATAGCTGTTTTCACTTTGCAAATCGTCTGATTTTGCTGCTTTGTTTGCTATTAGCAGCTTTTTAACAAATATTTTTGTGACCAAATTTCAACATAGGGATTGATCATGAACACTGAGACTATACATCCATTATTTGACCTTTGAACTGTGTGACTGGTCACCTATGATCCACAGAGCTACATTGGTTTAACATCAACTGGCATTCTGGCCCATAGTTTTGTTTCTGTTTCCTGCCTGGATGGAAAATCTTTTTAAAAACTACTTTTGCCCCAAACTAATTTGATCTGGTCATGAAACAAATTTGACTTTGTGAATAATCAACCATTGAGCATAGGCCCAAATTCACTTCTCATACAAACAGAAATATGTATCTTGAAAAGCAAATTTTAAAAGGAGAGGGTGGATCAGTGGGGAAAGGAATAGTGCATGTATAAAACTGACAGACTCTGGTTCATAGAATATAAGGATTGGAAGAGACCTCAGGAGGTCACCTAGTCCAATCCCCTGCTCAAAGCAGGACCAATCCCCAATTTTTGCCCCGGATCCCTAAATGCCCCCTCAAGGATTGAACTCACAACCCTGAGTTTAGCAGGCCAATGCTCAAATGATTGAGCTATCCCTCCCCCGTTCTTGGCAGGTGGGATTGAACCTGGGGCCTCTGAAGCTTAGTGCATAAGCCTCTATCATATAAGCGAAAAGCCAACTGGCTCTTAGCTAAAAGCCAACTGGCTCTTAGATAAGGCTATAGAGCAGACTCATTTTATCTCTCTCTCTCTCTAAGTGGTCTCGGTGCCACTAGATGGGACAGAACACCATACCCAGGAGGTGTGTGGGTTACATACTTCCCCTAGGTGAGGAAACGCGTCCCAAGCTTCGGAGACTTACCAGCTGAAATCCCGGATGAGCCCCCACTTTTAACGCCAACAGACCCCAGTCATTGGCAGGCGCAATCGAACCTGGGGCCTCTGGAGCTTAGGGTATGAGCCTCTACCGCATGAGCTAAAAGCCAACTGGCTCTTAGCTAAGGCTGTAGACCAGACTCATTTTACCTCTCTCTAAGTGGTCTCGGTGTCACTAGATGGGACAGAATACCACACCCAGAAGGTGTGTGGGTTACACATGATCAAAGTGAAATTCTATTTACAAGTTTTTAAATATCCATGAACATAGTCTCCCATTATTTGCCTATTCCAACTCCCACTGCAGTCAGCTGGAATCTTTCCATGGACTTCAGTGGGAATTGGATTGGGCTCTATTTCTCCAGCTCCAGCGATAACTGTAAAGGCCTAAAAAGAACGAGGAGTACTTGTGGCACCTTAGAGACTTACAAATTTATTTGAGCATAAGCTTTCATGGGCTACAGCCCACTTCATTGAATGCATAGAATAGAACATATAGTAAGAAGATATATATACATACAGAGAACATGAAAAGGTGGAAGTTGCCACACTAACTCTAAGAGGCTAATTAATTAAGATGAGCTATTATCAGCAGGAGAAAAAAACTTTTGTAATGATAATCAAGATGGCCCATTTAGACAGTTGACAAGAAGGTCTGAGGATACTTAACATGGGGAAATTGATTCAAATTGATTCATGGGGAAATTGACCCAGCCACTCCCAGTCTCTATTCAAATTCAAGTTAATGGTATCTAGTTTGCAAATTAATTCCAGTTCAGCAGTTTCTCATTGGAGTCTGTTTTTGAAGCTCTTCTGTTGCAAAACTGTCACCGTTAAGTCTGTTACTGAGTGGCCAGAGAGGTTGAAGTGTTCTCCTACTGATTTTTGAATGTTATGATTCCTGATGTCAGATTTGTGTCCATTTATTCTTTTGCATAGAGACTGTCTGGTTTGACCAATGTACATGGCAGAGGGGCATTGCTGGCACATGATGGAATATATTACATTGGTAGATGTGCAGGTGAATGAGCCCCTGATGGTGTGACTGATGTGATTAGGTCCTATGATGGTGTCACTTGAATAAATATATGGACAGAGTTGGCATCGGGCTTTGTTGCAAGGATAGGTTCCTGGGTTAGTGTTTTTGTTGTGTGGTGTGTGATTGCTGGTGAGTATTTGCTTCAGGTTGGGGCGCTGTCTGTAAGCAAGGACTGGTCCGTCTCGCAAGATCTGTGTGAGTGAGGGATCATCTCTCAGGATAGGTTGTAGATCTTTGATGATGCACTGGAGAGGTTTTAGTTGGGGGCTGAAGGTGACAGCTAGTGGCGTTCTCTTATTTTCTTTGTTGGGCCTGTACAACATACTAACCCACAGAATCCTTCCTATCTGCACTACAAAAAGAAGGATTCTGTGTGGACTCCTCCTGAAGGTCGAAACAACAGACTGGACTTCTACATAGATTGCTTCTGTCGACGTCCACGGGCTGAAATTGTGGAAAGCAGCATCACTTGCCCCATAACCTCAGCCGTGCTGAACATAACACCTGGCACTTTTCTCCATGCTCCTGACTGCTGGCCCACTGTGAAATTATACTGCGCACTGCTAAATAAACTGCCTTAATGGTTTTTTATTTCCTGACTGTGTGATGACTGGACATTGCCAACAGACAAAATATTTGTATAAAACAGAGGGCAATCTGGGGCTTTGGATTCTTTAAATAATTACTGGGGGCATTTGTATGTTCCCAGGTACAAAATTGCACATCCCTACAAACGTTTCACATAAACAGAAGCACAAATATAAATGCAAAATGAAAGACATTGTGTCATCTCTTTTGTTGATAACTGCTCTTGGGAATTGCTTCTTTTTCCTTGATGAGCATTTTAGAAACATAATCCAGATCCTAATCAGGAGAACTGTTTCATTTTCTTAGCAGTGACATCGTACCTGAAATTGCCATCTGTGCATCTTGTGGACGTGGTGTGAGTTTCATCCCATCCAAGTGATGTAAATCAGTATGGTTTCCTTCATCCATCAGCTTCTTGTTGAATATTAAGAGACTGTCTTAAACTCTTCTGTAATAAAAGAAACACAGTGTATTTGCTTTTTTCCACTTTGCTATTAACAAGGTGTAAAAATACAAAAACAAACAAAACACACAAGGTACTAAGCTGTCATAACTTAGCACATCTGTTTAGCTGCAGTATGTATGGAAGATCACATTGTTTCCTCATCACTACCTAATTATTTACACTCATTTAGACAGGCTAACTGTAACCAATTACACCTGTTCTAAAGAAAGATAGTCTCTGTTTCTTTATATAGGCTCAATTTAATTCAACACTATATTTTAATTTAAAACTATTTTAATGTAATATAAAAAAAGCTGAACCACCAAATAAAGAGCTAACATGCAGAGATGATTCATTTGAGCACAGTCAGTTAATCTCTTTTAATGGAGCTCCTTTAAACACAGCAATTTTTTTTATCAGTTGCATTTCTGCTCTTTATACCCTTGTTGTTAAGGAACAAGCATTCTCCCAATGACGCACCAATGCTAGCAGGAAGCACATGCTAAGTGTATTTTGTGACTCATTTCAATTTGCTATCTAGTGTACTTGCAGTTTGCTCATTAGCATCAGCGCTGGTGGCTAATGGATACTGAGTAGGAAGTATTTTTTCTTCGTGACTGTTTCATGGAGAAATGGAAATGAAAACTAGGAAGAACTTCATTAGTGACAAAGCAATTCAAGGCTGACAAAGGCTCTGTGTGTGTGTTTGTGCGTGAGAGAGAGAGAATGGCATTGGTTATTTAGAATAACAGACACCTCTGCATAACACTCTTTGTCGTTCATCATGAATTGAGGTTTGTCAGTAAGACTGATTATTGTGAACCTGAACAGAGAGTACGTTTTGTTGAGTTATGGTTGAGGGTGTATCATTAAAAGACATAGGAGGGATAGAAATGGAGACACCTGTATTTTACAGAATACTCCTTAGCTGCATTCATTCAAAACTGAAACTGCCAAACATTTTCTACAGAAGCTGTAGGGCTTGTTTCCCCTCCTTTATTCTACTGGCAGAAACTGGCACCGCGTTAAGGACCTCGGAAGCCCCTGCAAACCATGTAAAAGAATAATCCTTGTACTAGATTATTCAGAAACAGCTCATTGTGAAGATTCCCTATCTGAAATGTAAGCTACATGGTTTAGTTTGGCTGGTCAGAGTTCAGCTGGTACTGTTTGTGTTCCCTAATTGGATGGCCTTTTAAGAGGCCCAGATTTAGGAAAGCATCCCTGCTTCAGAAGGGCCTTTAAGGGTGTGTTTAACTTCCACTGAAGTCATAGAGACTTAAGCTCCTGTGGCCAGATCCTGTAAACATGTACTTGGATAATTTTGCACATGCAAGTCATCCCACTCACTTCAGCTCCAAACAACAAATATTTGCATGGATAAAGTTAAACAGATGCATGTCTGAAGCTACCAGGCTCCCACAGAGCAACTGGAGGTGGTGAGGACATAGGTGAAAGAGGAAGATAAAGGAATTGTAGTAAACAGCTAAAAAAGGAGCGGGGGGAGGGGGAGGAGGTGGGGAAGGTTTTCACAGTGGAGAAAACTTGCTATCTAAGGTTAGGTGAGGAAGCTGTGGAAGTGCCAAGTTGATGGGATCAAGAACCACACAGGCCAAGGAGCACAACAGTTGGATCATCTAGTTCCAAACATTCATCTTGTGAAAAGGTCTGAGATTGATTTTTTTAAATTATATTTATATTTTCATGCCAGGAACAGTGAATGAACCAATAGGCTCATTTAAAAATAAAGCCAACAATGCTTTTTTACACTCTTCTTAAGATTTTTGTAGCCTAAAGACACTTCCTCATGGGCACAACAATGATGTCACCACATGCAGCAACAGGGAATGACAGATATCACATAGCAGTGAGAAAATGCTATAGAACTGCAAAAATGTAGGATAATTCAGGTTCACAAAGGAAACAGATGCTTAGAAAGCATGGCCTGAACAATCAACGTCTGAATGAGTTCATTTAATATCAGATCGAAACCAGTCACACAGCCACTACAAACAATATAATACAATAAAAAAGCAGAATCTAAAACAGTGGGAGGAAAAGCCAAAGTGTATCAGATGCCAAAATCCTTAATTTGCAACATTTTTTTAAATTCAGGATACTTCCATTGTTTGTTTTCTCCCATGTTCCTTGCCAGACCATTCTGCCCGAAGCCACAATTTACCCTGAGGTCAAACAGTTTCTAGGAATCAAGTAGGACATTCAAATCTTGTTTTCTTAGTTCAATCCTGACATATTAAAAATTCAGTTGCAGAATGAACATTACTTTTAGCATTCACTCAGTTAAAGCTGTGCTGTTATTATGAGTGTTTGCAAGGCTTGGGCGCTCTTGGTTTGTTTGTTTTTTTCCTTCTTATTTCAATAGCCCAGGTTCTATTACAGCATGCTTTCCAGAGCTCTTGTTTCCCCCTCTGTTTATTTTGCAATGCACATGCCTTGCTCACACGTGTATGATGCAGAAGCAGGGGACAGCGCTGTGAGAGCTTTGGGCAAAAAATCTGCCAGGTGAGTAAGCTTGTCTCTTAGAGAACAAAAGGAGAAGAAAGATGTTCCCCAAGCCTGTGAGTTTAGGCATTACAGAGGCTAATTAAAGTTGCAGGTGCTGTAGAGAAACAAAAAAGGCTTCAAAGGTCTTTTCAAAGGGAGTCTGATTTCATGCTTTTCTCCCCCTCTGCCCTACGTACTCTCAGAACACCTGTAACAATTAAGCCAGGGCTCACGCAAACCAATCAGGAGAAAAATAACTCATCTGCAGAACAAGATCACAAAACAAGGAAAATTGTTCAGGGGGTGACATTATGGCTTCAGCTGCTTTCCTGGCTCCTAGGCCACTTTGGAGTACTGCAAAACTTTCTAACAGCTCTTTGCCCAGGTTTCAGATTCTCTCTTCATCATCGCAAACCTGGTGGGCACTTGGCAATGAGCTCATAAGCTTGGACAGAGCCTTACGGTTTAGGGTTCATATCTCTATATTTTTAAAGGTCTGTGGGGAAACAAATTGTTTATTTAGATATGGTTGTGTACCAAAACCCCAGGTCCAAATGTACTGAACTTTAGTGATGGTCACATCCCAGCCTGGATCTTCACTTTATGGGTTGGTCGCATCTCTATTTTTAGTTAAGTGAGACATCAGAATTTTATTTTACAGCATAACTGGGATTTTTTTCCCCTAAAGATCTTTTTTATTTGTTTCATTTTCTTCTCATATTCTGCTTCAAATAGGCATATCCTTTCAATCTGAGGAATTTCATAAACCACAAATCAGAACGGCAGTGTGAGTTGAGTAAGTGCAAACAACTTTCCAGGATTCGTAATAGGAGGAAATGGAAAGGGAAATCCTAGCAATAACTTCTCAATGAGAACTGAGAGTAAAACTCCTTCTCTCCACTAGTCCTGCCTACAAGAACAGAAAGTTGAAAGTTGAACAGCATGAGAAAGAGAAGAAGCTGTTTGTTAAAAATGTATCAATATATTTACAGTGCTGAGTGACCCTCAGTTGAAAGATGTGGAAAGCTCAAGAGGGAAAGCTGTGGAAAGCTGTAGATCCTTCACGTCTAGTTGGTCACAGGACAGATTCTCTTGAATCATCACCAGAAAAAAAAAGACTTTGAAGGCATCTTTGGAAGGATGGAGAGAGGCAATATTTAAAATATAAAAGCAGTCAATAGCAATGGCAAATAAATATTTCTTTAGTTTCATCTGGAAGTGATATAGACTAGACACCAAGAGTAAAACAGAAAACGTGTTCCCTCATCATGGGGCATGTGCTAGTATATCCATTCCTCACACTGGATTTAGCCAGATTCTGACATCAGTGGGTAGCCTAGGACATACTGTGACAACAGTTCCATCAGGACAAAGTGCCTGCAGGCTTTCTTCTCGGCTTCCGTGAGCAGAGAAACCCAGAACAAGCAGATACAGACTGAGGGTTGCAAAAAGGAAAAGAGTACTGGCTCAGCAGCACTGTCTTCATTTTCCACTGACTCAATGACTGGTGCCTTAGGAGGAGGGCAAGGAATGGGGCTGAAAATAGAGTTGCTTGCTGAAGTTAAAATGGAACTATACTGATTTACACCAGCTGAGGAGCTGGCCCTATATTTCCAGCACTAAGATGATCTTTTGTGAGTATTAAAGACAAATAAAGAATGAATGAGCAGCCTTTGTTGCACATTAGAAAAGGCAACACCTGGATGAAATATGATCACAGGTACTGTGTTGTAATGCAATATGTCCGTCTCACACGAAATAAAAAGGTGAAAACATTTTTACAGGCTATGTTTTAAAGCTTGTGCTACTTTATTTGAGGGGCATATTTAAATCGTCAAAATATTAGGATTTTAGTTAGTTGTTTTACTCTATGTCATTCGCAGCCAAACTACTGCGGCATCAAGGAAGCTCCCAACTACTAGAGAGTTAGTATTTTGATCTATTCCTCATTTAACTCCTCCTGGCACAAATCACTCTGTAGTACCGAGCTGTGCAGCCCAACATGGTTCAAGATCAATGTCAGGAAGGACCTGCTCATATCCTAAGCTGCGCGCATGTTAAACATCTTCCCAACCCCTCCCCCCGCCCAAAGGGCAGCAGACTCCATGACTCAGACCATGTCTAGCTTCTGGGAGGTAATGTCAAGGAGACATTGTGCATATGCAATGCTACTCCACAGCTATATGGGTGGTAGATTTCCTCCAGCTGTCAACCCCTTGACTGTATATCCAATTTAAAGGTCCAAGCCAGATTTTTGCTGGGAGAGCATACCAAGATCAGGAGTGGGGCAGTCAAAAGACTGTCTAGGACCCGCCCCGCCAAGCTGTGCTTGGGGTTGAGGGACAGGGAAAGATGACCAATTCAGTAACTCAGTCCTGTCCCACCAAAGCAGTTTTGCAAGAATTATTAGAACACTGAAGTAGCCTTTGCTGCCCTCGCAGATCCTAAGTGGCTCCATAATTTGTATTATAGAACAGTCACCTTTGCAGTCTCCATCTGCACCAGACCACCCATTGTCAGGATTGGTAGAAGTAGCTAACATCCCATTTACTCCTACTTAGCCAAAGGTCATGGCAGGTCTTTTCTTGTCCCAGCAGGTATGTTACTCACTTAAGAACAAGATTGTAGGAATTTTATGTCATATTAGCAAAGAACAGAACATGATACTGAGAGAGTTTAGCAATATGTGCTGCTAATTTTTATGATCTTGAACCTTTGGATTTTCTCAAAAGGCTAATTTCAAACTTCCCTCATAATGATCATTTTAAAAGATAAAGTTAAAAATAGACATGAAAGAATATGACATTTGTTCACCAATTATTTTTCTCACTAGCAATGACAACATAATCAAATACTCATTATCCAGAACTTTAACATGCAAACACCTCCCACTTAACCTGCCTCAATGAAATGTCATATCTGGAAATACTGCCTCCCTGGCATTTGGAATAAAATTGCCCACTGCAGGTGCAGAGGAGAAAACCGAAGTTATTCTTGGGGCTGGCACATCTCTGTCACCCCTTACTTTATTATTATTTTTTTTAATTTATCAGACAATATAATGTCCATGAAAATGAGAGACTAATATAGCACTGACTTGAATCAGTTATTGCATAGGCTCCTCGTCCCACACACAGCTCTGCCATTAAGCCGCAATCCTTATCTGCAGCGTTCCTGCTATTACAGCTCTGGGCACCTCTGGAGTAGAAACTGTCAAACATGTTGAACCATAGGCCACCATTTGGTGATTTAAAAAATATCAGGGATTAAACTGAGCTAGGCAAAGTGGGCCAGTTGTTAGGGCCTTAATCTGAGACTAAAGAAGCATGGGTTCAATTCCTTGTTCTGCCATAGTCTTGCCTAAAGTCACTTAGGGTATTTCTATAAGGGATAAAAGGGCCATGGCTGGGAGTAGTCATCTGACTGCGACTGAAGCTGCAGGACTAAAATCAACTGTATAGGTGCTTGGACTGGAGCCTGATCTTTGGATCCCTCCACCCTCGCAAGGCCCAGAAGCTCCAAGATCAGCCTGGCAATCTACACAGCAATTTTTCAGCCCCAGTGCCTGAGCCCAAGGAGCCCGAGTCAGTTTACCTGGGCCAGTCGCAGTTTTTTTATCCCTGTGTAGACATAGCCTGAGGGTGCCTGGGGTGCCAGAGGAGGAAGTTAATATGGAAGGCTGCATGGGGCAAAGCTGTCCTGCCCAGCCACTCATGGAGTCCGATTGCATGGGCCACCCAGCCATGGAGTCTTCTAAGCTGCTTCTGGACTGCAGCACAAGGTAGCATGCAGGGGACTCAAATGATGAATGGGTGATGCAGCAGGAGCCACTAACCTTACGGTCATTACTGATACGAGCCAAACAGCTCTTTCTGCTGAGCTCTGTCCGTCTCTCTTAGCTGCCATTCCTGTTCCAGGAACTGTGAAGCAAGTGCCTGCTCCCATGTTGAAACCCTGTCCTCAAGCTGTGCAGCCAGCTTGAGCCTTTCTTCTTGGCTCTCACCATGCCTTTCCTCTGGCCGCAAGTCCCTCTGTCTTTGGAACTGGACCTGCTTGTGGGGCCTCTCCAGAACTTCAATCATAAGTTCATTATGGAAATGCTTCCTCTTGGAATGGTCCGTGATGGTACATTGGGACAGATTTCTGCTGAAGCGTGGGTCAGCTGTGGAGGTACTGCAGGTTGAGGGACCTGGAACAGGACAAGACACAGAGGGTGATTGTCTCAAATAGCCCACTGCAGCAGCACAGAAAACAATCCTCATGAATTTCAAGAATATAAAATGATACTTTTCCAAACTGAACTTCAGTATATCGTGAGAGGGATGCTTCAGTTCAGAGAAGCTCCTTAGACACAGCCTGCTTAGTCACAGCGAAAGAACTGTGGAGACAATGGCAAGTTAAAAATTCAAAGTTGTTTTTTTGTTTTCTAAAATTTGCAGAGCTACGTGGGTTTGGAGGGAGTGCCATCGATGGCAGTGCTAAGAAAACTTTTTCTATTTTGGAGGACATAACAGTTCTTGTCATGCCCGAATGGCAAAAGGAGATGTTATTCCAAGCTACTAGTGGGAACCTGCAGTGTATGCAATAGGAGAAACTAAGAGACACAGCCTGACTCTGTAGCCTAGTGATTAGGGCACTCCACTGGGATGTAAGAGAACCACATTCTGCCTGACTTGCACCACAGTCTTATGGGTTTCCCACATCCCAGCTGAGTGCACTGACCTCTGGGGTGGCTATTTCTTTGCCTCTCACTTTCACCAGAAATTCCTCCCTGGACCTGAGACTAATTCCTGACAAATCTTTTCGTCAAAACCAGTAAGTTTCCACGAAAAAGTTTTGGTTTAGAAAAATCGGCATTTTCCAGCAAAAACCATTGATTTGAAAATTTTCTGACCAGCTCTAGTCAGTTTTTTTTATCTGAGGAAAAGTATGGATTGTGCCTGCTATATGTGAATGAGTGTTTTACTTTAATCTGTCTTCTGCTCTCATTAAATCAATTATTATTTTTAACAGACAGAGAACTTTGGTGGGTTTTTTTTTTTTCACTTTTAGATGCTTCTATCACATTGAGACTAATTCTGGCACTCCAGAATGTGTACAGCAGGGCCAATGATTCTTCTGCTCTGGATCTTTTAAAGCCATAGACAGAATATCAGTAGCTAAAGCCCCTTTTGCTGGGGAGCCTGAGAAGACTTGTTGCATTTAGAATGTAAGCTTTAGAAAGTGTACAGAATGTACTATGTTAATCAACTATTGTATTGAAGGTCATAATGTAAGCCTAATGCAGTAGCCTAGAATGTCATATAGAAATGGACTGAATTAGCTGCTAAATATTCAGTGACTCTGATCTTATCTACCTTATCTATCCTTCAGCACCTGAAATGCACTACAATCAAACAGTACTTTAAACAGCAGCATCACTTTAAAAGCTAAGATAGCAGATATGAAATCACGGCCAGTCTTCTGTGCAAACATGTCAAAATGTAGACTTTTACTTTTGATATTTATTATGTTGACTAAAGAGGCAGAATAGCATACAGAAATGACAAATAAAAAATGAGGTCTTCTGTGGAATTTTTTCCAGCTTAGTCAAACGGCACTCCCTGGTTCTTGCTGGCATCCTACAGAAAATAACAAGTCGGAGTAAACCAGGAGTCTACTTTAGCACTTCATCCTTATGGATCATTTAAAAAGTATGCATGCTTTGCACTTTTTCAGTAATACCCATCATATGAGGAAAAAGGGTAATACTCAAGCCCAGGAAACAATATTTCAGCTCACGTTATTGAAAAAATAAGGAATTTTGCAACTGAGAAAGTGCTCCAACTTAGGAAGTTCCTTAAACTTTTCTGCAGACAACTTCAAGATTGTACAACCTGCAACATGAGCTGAGGCAATCATGAAAAAGAAACAGAGTTCCCAGCTGTGTGAGCTCCAGCTTACCAATAATAAGAATAAAACCTACACATGCTCACACACTTTTGAACAGGAGGGATCTTTATAGGATCCCTTAAAACTTTGTTTCACTGCCCCACTTTTCAGTTTGCAATCCTTTTGACAAAACTGCAAGACTCAGAGATTCAAAGAATGGCATTTAAGTACACACAGGACAATGCAGTGCAGTGGCACCATTTTAAAAGATAAGATAGCAGATATGAAATTATGTTGATTAAAGAGGTAGAATAGCATACAGAAATGATACATAAAAAGTGAGGTCTTCTGTGGAATTTTGTCCAGCTTAGTCAAATGGTGCTTCCTGGGACAATGTGGTGCAGAACTGGGCACAAAGAAATGGAAGCATTTTCATAAGGGAAAGACAAGTGTCTAGAAAAATAGACATAAAAGATTTCTGCTGCCCAACTGTACATCTTATTTAGGACTCTCAGTTCTGGTCATTCCAGTAGTGCTTAATTTGTAATGAAAGAGGTGCCGGGGCTCAAGCAATTTTTTTACTTTCATAACTGACACGGCAAGCCCGGAGGTGCCAGGGCTATGAACTGCCAACCTTAGAGGTGCTGGGGCTGAGCCAATTGAGCCAAAGGGTCTCTACACAAGGCCTTAAATGCTTCTGCATGCATTACACCATTAAAGTGCTGAAGGCAGTTATCAATGGGTTCTCTGTCATTCTGCAATGCCATTTTCATCTGGATTCCCTTTGATCCAAAGAAAATGTTTATTATTGTTTCAAATGTTTATTACTAGTCTTATTGACAGAAGATAAAATAAGACTGAATTGTTTTGATCATGCTTTACACGCATAACCCATCATCGATGACTACTGCTCCAGAAACTGAACACCTGGTGTGATCCAATTCCCATTGGGTTCCTTTTCATTCACTTCCACAGGAGCTAAATCAGGCACTATAATTTGATTATAATAATGATATAGAGTTACAGATTGTTTCACTTGTGAATGAGAAAATTGCATACCAATTCTGTGACATTTCAAAAGCCTTACATGACAATGCTAGTATTAAAAGTTCATAAAAATTAAGATGTAACAATATCTGGTGATTGCATTTGCTTGTAAACATGAGTAGTATACAAACCTGAGCCAAAAATTTCTCACAATCGGGTTCCTACAATCATTTGATAGGCCTCATTTCTAAAGGCACCTGCCCTTCCTTTTGATATCTGTAAGATTTCTGGAGGTCAGTACAGTTCTGGAATTTAGGTTTGTTAGTTAACATCCAGTATGTTTCCTCCGCTGGCTGGCTGGCTCTGCACAGAAATATAAGAGAGGCATTCATAACAAGTGTCTATTAATTCCTCCGTGACTAAGCTGAACATTTTTTTAAAGAGGTACTTTGAATCCCACTAGACAACCACAACTATGTAGTAGATCAGACATTGTTAAAATGGTTCTTTTACAAAACTGAAGTCTATGTGACACAAGTGATTTTACATTCTCAAAGTTAATGTGCTTGCCTTTCTTCGATATACTAGACTTGAAATAAACTCAATTAAACAGGGAAACTCTTAATTTTACAGACCGTCTTTACAAAAAGTTCATCATTTTCCTGTCTGAGGTATTTCGGGGGGGGGGGGGGGGTTGTTTTGGTTTTTTTCCTGAGAACTGTGGTGGAAAATATAACTAGTCTATGGGTGTATACAGAATGTTTAACTACAGTTAATAAAACTAAACTGAATGAAATATCCTAATACAGGATGCCAAGCCATATTCTAAACATGGAACAAATGCGGTTTAAAGGACTTTTTGTTATGTTACAGCATTATGTGCCAACAATACCTACAGGGTTATAGGTAAATCTCTAATTTATTATGCAGTTTTCCCTTGGCTATTTTTAAGTCTACCACACTTCATAGTGAGAAGCTAATTTACTATGTTTGTGAGAACGTTAATGCATTATCAGTGTGGTTCCAATCCTGTAACTCCAGAGATCTCAGTGATAAATTTTTAAAAAAGAACATGTACTTAGGGGGTCAGATGGCTCAGGGTATTGGTAATGGAATACAGAAAATGTCATCTCTAGGTAACCAGTCTGAATCTAGCACATGTCAGTGCCATTATTCCCTGAGGTCTATCTGGTAATCTCTTTTAATTTAATTTGTGTGCCCAGTCCACTGTATGGGAAGACTTTCAGATACCCTGGTGACAGGGCCATATAACAAACAAGATACGCTAGCAAGAAGTGGGGGAAAGGTACATATCTCTCAAAAGCCACAGTCATAACTTCAACTTTGTTGTATTCTCCTCAGGTAAAAATAAGAACTGGATAGAAAATCAACTATGCGTTTATCCTCACATGTGGATCCTGACTAATAGAATTGGGACACATTGACCAGACAGTGAGGGAAAGTTTGGTCTTGTACCCATTTCTCTGTTTTCAATTTGGCTTTTTTAAGTGATGCAAAATTCATTTATTTGAATAGTTGCTACAGTGTCCTGAAATTATGGGTATTTGGGAAGTTTTTCATTATCATTTTCTATTTATATGTATATTTTCAGATCACATGCAGATTTATAGTTCATGAAAGCAAAGAACTTCATTTTTGTATACACCCACTGCTACTGTTCTTGATCCTGCAGAGTAGGAAATTAGTGAATAATTAAATAAGCTAAATAATGATTGGCCTCAAGGCACCAATCAGTTTTTAGGAAAAGAGGAGGCTTCATATTCTACTGAATCACCTAACCTATTTTCTTTGAGTGAGCTTTATTTACAACACCCAGACACACCAGATTAGAAAGCATACCATCCATTGTTTTCCTGGCATGCCACAAGGCATGCCACTTTGGATGGCATGCTGCACCTGCATCCATAGCAAGCATAAAGAAGACATTGGAAAATCCAACCACAAACTAGAATTTGGAGGACCACTCAGGTGATAAAGTATTTCCACATTTATTACAGTTAAGGCCTGACAGGCTGCATAACACTATCAGGGGCTTTAAATGTTATTGTGTTTACAAAACTAAGATTCAAGGAAGTCAGTGGAGAAATTCACTAGCCAAGGGAGGTAAATAAGCTTCCAGTTATAAGTCAGTTCAAGTCCCTTTCCTCAGGATTCATTTTGTTAACCCAAAAGAAGAGGAAAAATAACTCAAAAACACTTGGCAACAACCTTCAGAGACCTTTCCAGCTTTCTGCAACTGCAGGATTTGGATAAGGTGGAAAACAAACACACCCTT